GCAATAACGATTGCTGGGAAATCCAGGAGACAATCTAATTTTTGATTTTCATATTGACATACCTGTGGAGTCATGGGCAGGTGCAACATTGTCACTTCCTTGCATAGGTTCTCCAGATTTTACTCTACGTGTACTTTAACACTGTCCTACAGAGGTCACTCTACCAAGAATCACTTGAACATGAAACACATTATGTCTTTCTCTACTTCCCAAGTCCAAAAAGAAAGAAGGAACATGGGATAAAACCAACTTTTAAAATCCTTAGTTCATGCTGTACAAAAAAAGATGGAAAACACTTTCTTATTACACATGTTAAAAAACCTCTCTTAAAATAATACATTCAAAATGTTATTTCATTGTCAAATAAATGTAAATTAATTCAACAGAAGGTGTTGTCATGTAAGGAAAGGTCTGAAGCTCAGTCCTGCTTTCTGCCATCCCGTCTTGTGTTCTTCCGTCCCGGTCTCTTTCTTGATCTTTGTGATTTATACTCAAGCATACTTTATGATTCTTCCCTTTCTTGAACTTTTTGTGCCTCTTCTGAAATACCTTCTTTCATCATTTTCACTTGGCAGAGTTAATCTGGTGGTAGTTAATTCCACACATTCAAGATTGGTGCCCTTAATCACTTAGTGGACAATAACAAGCCACCCCACCCTCACGTGCCTGCCTCGCTCCTTCAGGAAGGGTGGAGATTTTGCTGACTGATGATCATGTAAAATGGAAGTGACAGAGTGCGAACTGCCAACGGAATCCAGCTTCCAGTCCGTGTGCTCATGTCACCGCTGTCCAAGGGAGCCTTGGTCCTTCCTCAGTGAAGACACGGGCCCAAGTTCCCATTGTGTGTTCTCCTGCCACAGCAGTGGGGAAAAAATGAGTTCCAGGAAAGGCACAAAGCTACACAGAGAAACCCTGTCTCGGAAAAAAAAAAAAAAAAAAGACACTCATTCACAAGCCAATCATTAGGCAGAAACAAAGACTATGACGACTATGACCTGGAGTTAAACAGACATGTGAACAAACACAGGGGCTGAAATCTCATGGTATGGACATTATTATGAAATTACCATCGAAACAACTGAGAATGTGTTTGAAAACAAGAAGCTAACATGTTCTAGTAGACAAGTGATTTTATGTTCTGCAGTGAGAACTGCCAGTGCCCAGGCCATGCTCTAAACACATGCTTCCATCCCCTTCTGTCAGCCTGCTACCAGCAGCAGAAACCATACCGTACACCCTTCCCTCCCATGGATTCACATCTTTTCCACAAACATTCAACAGCTACTCCTGGGCAAACCCACAGAATCTTTCATCCAACAAGCAAGTTTCTAATTATAAAATCCCAGGTACTATGGGAAAATGGGGAAAGAGAAAAGGGGAGACAGAAAGGGAGGCAGGAGAAGCCAGGCAATTTGACAGGGCAGGGGGAGGAGGGGCGTGAGGTAAACCTCGGAAGGAGAGTTTAAATGAGGTTTCTTTAGAGGCAGAGTTTTCTGAGAGATTGCCTAATTCCAACGGCTCAGCGAGTCACATAGTTTTCATTTCTCTACGGTAGCAATTTCGTTATGAATGCCATCCTCAAAGCAAATAAATACTTACATATGCTCCAAGTCAGTGTACACAGACAAACATCCATGCACATGTTCACACACAAGGTTTATGTGACACACAGGGCCCCAAATCAGGTCATGTCAAAAGCTTGACTCCAAAGTAGTAACTCATCCCTATTCTTTTTCTATCTGCCTCTGGGGAAAAGCCCACATGAAGTATTAAAAGCAGAAGATGCCCTGAAATCACAAATTTGTCTCCTATTATCTGTCACCGCTGCTGCCCAGTCCCCAAAGGCAGAAAACTGCATTGGAGCTGGAGGCACAGTAGAGGTAAATCTGGCCCTAGGAGGACACTCGCAATTGCTCTCAAAATGTTTTAACCTCAGGCCAACAGGAAACAGCCATACTCTCAACCAATTTGACTTCCCCCTGTTTCTGGACATCTACAGTATAAGATTGATTCTGCAACTCCGTACCTTTCAAGAAAACACAACTGCAACAACATGATCATAATAAATGACAGCACCAGCAACGGTTAGCAGCTCACACTATTGTGCCAGGCACAGAAGACACAAAGTTACCCAGGTTTTTCTTTAAACTTCACAACAATGAGGCATAGAATATTAGCAGAAGTGATAGCATTGCCTATCACATTTTAAATATTTACACACACAGCCACTCCTATGCGTTTAAACATTAAAGCTAGAATCCTAAAAATGTCATCAACATGCTTTGACACAGGAAGGCTCACTATGACATTAGCCACTTATTCATTTGCAACTAACTTATAAAATATTAAATACAAAAATCATCATCACTCATGACACAACTAAGAATGAAAATTTTTCTTTTAAAATGCTTTTTTGGGGGACTGAAGAGATGCCTCCAAGGTTAAGCACACTGATTGCCCTTGAAGAGGACAGGGGTGGTGTGTATGTGTGTGGGAGGGTTGATTCCCCAGACCCACATGAAGGCCCCAAACCATCTTCAGGCACTAGGTATATATGCAGTGCACAGATATATATTCAGGCAAAAACACCATACACATAAAAACAATAAAATTAAATACTTTTCAGGGCTGGGGAAATGGATCAGTTGATATAGCAGGAGCTTTGAGCACACTGAATTTGACTCTGAGTTCAATTCACAGCAGCCATGTTAGAAAATACAAGTTAAAGGAAAAACTGAGTATGGTGGTAAATGCTTGTAATCCCAATGCTGGGGAGGTAGAGATAGGCAGAGTAGCCTACCAGGTGAATGAAGGCTAATGAGAGATCCTGCCTCATAGGAGGTAACTGGCTGTCTTGAGGAACACAGACAGGCATACACACACACACACACACACACACACACACACACACACACACACACACACCCGTATAATTACAGTTTTGCATGATTTTAATGCCTATTGGATCATAGAAACTGGGTTAGTGTCTCATCATACAGTCTAAACATTCAGAATTAAAATAATAAAAGTGTCTAGCAGCATAATTAAGCATAGCTACATTCATAGAAGTTGATTCAAATTATATAGTTTGCTAGGGCTGTGTTATAGTTAGGTTTCTGTTGTCATGGTAAAACACCATGACCAAAGCAACACGGAGAGAAAAGGGTTTCTTTTACTTACAAATCTCAGGTCACGATTTATTACCCAAGGAGGTAAGGGCAGGAACTCAAGGCAGGAACCTAGAGACAGGAACTGATGTGGAGACTACAGAAGAGCATTACTAGCTTCGTCCCCATAGCTTGCTTAGCCTGCCTTCTTATACAGCTCAGGACCACCTGCCCAGTGGTGGTTCCACCCATGGTGAGCTGGGCCCACATCAACCATTAATCAAGAACATGCTCCCAACCCCAACTTGCTTGCCCATAAGCCAGTATGCTGGAATCATTTTCACAATGGAGGTTTCATCTTCCCAAATGACTCTAGCTTGTGACAATGACAAAATACTAACCAGAACAGGTTGCTATAAGAAAAAAGCCCACCCTACGTAGCCTTGATAAACAGAAATGTGTGGTTTCACAGCTCAGAAGGCTGGATAAATGGGGTCATGGTATACACAGTGTTAGTTTCCTCCTCCAAGGGCTCACTGCTTTGTACACAGCCATTTCCTACCTGCTTCTTCCCAAGGTTATCACTCTATTCACAAAGTCCTTCAGCCCTTCTCTCCTTGGAAGGGCACTTGTCATGTTGGAATAGGACTTCCTGGCAACTTAATTACCTTAAAATTTCCATGATAACTTAACCACATTCATACTGTGATGTGCTAGGATTTGCGACTCACATACAGGAATTTTAGAAAATCACAATTTAATCCAGAATTTTCATCAATAGAACATATTAATTTTAAAAAATACACAGTCACATTATCTCTGTGGCTCCACTCAGATCAGTGCTCAGCTCTGAGGAACAATCACACATCTGATTCTTACCTTGCATTTCTTTTCTTTTTGTCTGTTTTGAGACGTGGTCTCACATTATTCCTCATGCTGGCCTAAAACACCCTTCATGGCCCAGGTTAGTCTTGAACTCTTAGGATTCTTCCTGTCTCAGCCTCCCAAATGCTGGGATAATAGGTGTGCATTAGTCAATACACCCAGACTTACCTTACATCAGTTGATAATGTTATCAAATGTATTTGCATGGTGTGAAAAATCTTACTTTATCCCTAACAAAAATCATTGAAAACAATAAATTTCCTTCTCAAGGACAGTCTGAGCTTTAGCTCCTACAGATTTTGATACATTGGATGTACATTATCATTATTTCAAAATGCATTCTAATTTCCCTTTTGGTGTCTTCTTTGACCTATGGGTTATCTGGAAGTGTGTTGTTTAATTTCAAAATGCTAGGGATTTTCTTCATGGCTTTCCATTATTAACTTCTAATTTAATTCTGCTATTGTCAGAGAAAACACTGTGCATGATTTCAATTCCTTTTAAATTATAAAGACCCGGTTAATGGCTCAGCATATGGTTTTACATTTGGAATTAAAAATAATAAAGTTGATAATGGCATAATTTAGCCCAGCTACATTCATGGTGGCCAAGTTGATTCAAAATATCAGTCATTTGTGTTAGTGCCTGAGTGAGGAAAGACAAACAAAAAAAAAAATGTTTTTAATTAGGTGAAGGTTAGATTACTTCTCATGGGAAAATGAATAAGCAATTTATTTTTAGGGGCATGAGTATTCTTTTCACCCCAAGTATTGACTAAAGGACAATGAAATAAATATACTCCTATGTTAAGAGTCACACCATTTTTTTAAACAAATGCTAATCATTTACTTTACCTCTGGAAATCAAGTGATGCGAGCTAGCAAAGATTAGCAAAGCAGAAGTTTAACACTTATACTGTCAGGAACTGAACAGCACTGAGAGTTCACATCTGTAAAAAGAAATGACCAGCAAAAGAGGCCGTCTAGACACAAGATTTATTATGTTACAAGTTATGTACAATAAAAATATAAACATTTCCGCCCAAACATTTCCCAATACATCACAGGAGAAATGAGCATTAAAGTTGCACTTTTCTATTCCTAAAATGGGCTATAACCTAAAAGTATTGAAAAACTCAAACAAAATAAATACTCAGCACTGACTATCACACTTTAGGGAAAAACCATCAAGCTAAGCACATTTCTTTCCAGTGCTATTTAAACACGGGATTCCGAGGTAAACCTTATTTAGATGAGTTTCTAGCCAAGGATTTGACCTACATAATATAATTTGTGTAAATCAAAAAGCCAAGCAATATCCTTGAAGGAAGAGACTAAAAATGGTTTAAAATTTTTCAGCTTGGGGATAAACATGCACTAAAGAAACATAAATTTTCACAAATACTTGGCACCAAACGGCTCAGTACGAGAGGACATTACAGGTCTAACTTTTAAACTCTGAAAGTGTACTTCTGTAAGTGTTGTGGAAGCTGTGTGTATGCTCTAGTTTCAGCCACAGTCATCACAAGTATTCAGCAGTTAGTAGTCACCTCTTCAGCTAAGACTCCATGGATCCAGCCCTAGATCTACTGCCTGCTGGCAACAGGCTATGGCAAGATAGGAGCAGACAATACACTGGCTTGATTGTGTTCCTACTGGTACAAACACTGCTTTGACAAGCCTAGATTTGTAAAAATTTCCCTTTCCAAAGATGTTCTGGAGCAAGGCACAGTGGCTCATGGCTGTAACCCCAGCACTCAAGAAGCTGAAGCAGGAAGATCACTGAGAGTTCAAGGCTAGCTTGGGTACACATTGAGACCCTGTTTCTAGCAGGCAAAAATGCTTTCTGACTTTCTTACAAAAATTCTAAACTCAAGCCAGCAAGCAACTTCATCCACCAGGTCTGCAAATGTACCTTTTTTAGGTATTCTATTAGATTTTCTTATACAGCTCCCTATTAAAATGGTTTAAATGCCAAGCCAAGCCTTGGGAAACAGAGCACACTCTATCTAAGGCATTTTATGGCATCTAGCATTGGGATCCGTGCTGTAATGAAAAGAAGAAAGTAGCTTGAAGCTCTTTGTCCTGGAAAGATGTTTTTCTTTTCCTTCTATTCTGTATGTGATGCTGCAGATGGAAGACATGGTCTACTGCATGCCAGCAAACACCCTACCACTGCCCTCACATGCTCAAACCTCCAGAAATTAATCCTTACTCCAGGAAAGAGGGGCAAAGCCTTCTGTTATTATAGACCATGAAATATTATTACCACAATTTTTATTTTCATAAAACTAAGTTTTAGAGTTGGCCTGGAGGAATTAACCCATCTTTATGATCAATTCCTGACAAAAAGACAGAGGAGAATGGCCTTCCTTCAGGTGCACCATCCTTAGCAGTGGGAGCCACTCGGCGTTGAATGCTAAGTATTCAGGGGGAAAAATGCATCAACCATTTCCAACAAACATGGCAAAGTCTTCCAGCAATGACGAAAGGCAGCTCGTTGTTTCACTGGGAAATTTCTTTTAATCTGAAGTGTGTAAAGGATTACAACACAGCCATCAGCTAATAATCATACACAGCCTTATTAAAGTGATCCCCACCACCAGGGCCCAAGTCAGGGGTCATTCTGCACAGTCATCTGGATACCAGGAAGTAAAGATTTAAAAGTCAAACATCTAACAACACTCTAAATCACACTGGGATGGAATGATAAGCGCCTAGAGTCTGCACCAGGAGATCTAAATTCAAGTCCTGCTCAGTCTGTCCATCGTTCACAGAAGCTGCCTAAGGCTCAGTATTCTCATGGCAAACCCTCTCTTACCCAGGAATTGAATCAGATTAGATTAAACAGGTCAAACATTTGACAAAGGCAAAAACACCATGTTTACTAAATAGACATCTGTACTGCTATCTAGAATAAAGCATTAAGAGGAAATAATTTTAAATTAGGCTCTTTTGTTCATGTTAACATTGAACCACATTGCACTACACAAAGTAAAAACTCCATGTAATGGCCTTTAGGGTTATTTTGGTTATTTCTGTTTGTTTTGCTTTGGTTTTTGTTTTTGACAGGATTGCACTATGTAACTCTAGCTAGCCTAGAACTCACTATGTAGGCCAGGCTGGCCTCAAATGGACTTTGGGCTTTTAAATACCAAATCAGTTTCATTTCTAATCCCCCAGCCCCTGTGTGTGTGTGTGTGTGTGTGTGTGTGTGTGTGTGTGTGTGTGTGTGTGTGTTGCTGTGGGATGGTCTGTATGTCAAATGTGTTGCTGATTGATCAATGAATAAATCACTGACTGGTCAGTGGCCAGGCAGGAAGTATAGGTGGGACTAACAGAGAGGAGAATTGAGAGAACAGGAAGCTGGGGGAGGGAGACACTGCCAGCTGCCAGGATGACAAACAGCATGTGAAGATGCCGGTAAGCCACGAAACATGTGGCAAGGTATAGATTAATAGAAATGGATTAATTTAAGCTATAAGAACAGTTAGCAAGAAGCCTGCCACGGCCATACAGTTTGTAACCAATATAAGTCTCTGTGTTTACTTGGTCAGGTCTGAGAGGCTGTGGGACTGGCAGGTGAGAGAGATTTGTCCTTACTGTGGGCCAGGCAGGAAAACTCAAGCTACAAATGGTGTCCAACGTGGGGCAAGAATTTCCACCTAAAAACTGAAAAAAAAGATTCTAAAACGGAGCTAAAAACAGTTCCTAATTGTCTCTCTCAAATGTGCGGCAGCTGCCGGTTTGAGCTACTTGTGGGTTCCTAGTGTATGTGCTCGACCTGCAGTATGGCAGGAATGAGGCCTCTGCAAGTGGCACATTAAGCTGCATGGTGGATTTAGACTTTGCTAGTACAAAATAAAAAAAAAAAAGAGGTTTCTGGGCTGCATGCTGCTTGGATGAAAGCATAGAGACCCACGATGGCTCCCAGAGCTGGTGGAAGGTGTGCCACGGCCATGTTGGGAAGCTGAGGTGGGCGGAGCCAGCAGCCACAGCTGCTGCAGCTTAAAACAATAGATTCACAATAAGACAGATTCAGATATAATAGTTTAAAATGTGTGTAAAATATACGTAGGCTTGAAAGAGACAAAAAAGGTGATAAATACAGTATAGAAACAAATACATAGTTTTAAAAATAAAGTCTTTAAAGAGACAGTAAAATTGATATAAAAAATAAGCCACGTGAAGATAAATATTACACAGAGAATCTGGATTATGGCGTCTTTGGGATTTTTAACTGCAGAAAAACATTTGATTGTAAAAGCTGTTCAGTTATGCCAAAATGTATATTTTAAAGGTACCTTGACTTCAAAATTTGGATATAAGGATATGTTGCTTTGGAAAGGAGATTCTGCTTTTGTTCCCACAGAAAGCCAGAGGCTATGGATTTGTTCCAGATTAAGATACATCAGGTTTGACCAGCCAAGACCCCCTGAAAGGTGACACCAAGGCCCAGAAGATCCAACATCCAGAATGGTTTCAAGGCAACTGGCTTAGACGATACATCCTCACGGACTACTCCATGATCCTAAAATTTTCTTTGTTTCCCCAGAAGATACAGTGCCCCCCTCCAGCAGGAAGTAGTTAGAGAAGCTACGCCCAATTTCCCAAATATACCAAGCTGACTTTGGAGATGTGTAAAGGTTAAAACCTTCCTTTTTAAGAAAAGAAAAGGGGAAGTGCTATGGGATGGTCTGTATGTCAAATGTGTTGCTGATTGGTCAATGAATAAATCACTGATTGGTCAGTGGCCAGGCAGGAAGTATAGGTGGGACTAACAGAGAGGAGAATTGAGAGAACAGGAAGCTGGGGGAGGGAGACACTGCCAGCCGCCATGATGACAAACAGCATGTGAAGATGCCGGTAAGCCACGAGCCATGTGGCAAGGTATAGATTAATAGAAATGGATTAATTTAAGCTATAAGAACAGTTAGCAAGAAGCCTGCCATGGCCATACAGTTTGAAACCAATATAAGTCTCTGTGTTTACTTGGTCGGGTTTGAGCGGCTGTGGGACTGGGGGGTGAGAGAGATTTGTCCTTACTGTGGGCCAGGCAGGAAAACTCTAGCTACAGTGTATGTGTGTGTGTGTGTGTGTGTGTGTGTGTGTGTGTGTGTGTGTCTGTGAGTCTGTGTTTCTGTCTGTGTCCAAGCTTGCACATAGCTGCTGGTCTTGGACACACTATGTAGCTAAAGATGACCCTGAACCCCTTATCTTGCGACCACACTTCTGAAGTGCTGGGATTGTATATGTGCACCTCCATGCCTGATTTATGAGGTTCTGGTGACAAAGCCCAAGCCCAAGGCTTCACACATTCCAGACAAGCATTCTACAAAGTGAGTTACATCTCCAGCCCCCAAATATCTCTTTAAATCTCGACTTCTCAACAATGAAACATAATTTTGTCAGCCATAAAATAAACTACCACCATACCTTTAATAGCATACTGCTTTTTTATAATGTTGGTTTTGTTTTCATACGGGGGCTGAAAGCAACACTGTATTTTTAATGCGTTGATCACATATCAGAACACATTTCTATGGCCTTCTCAACGTGGAGACTTTAGCCATGGTGATATTACAAGGGCAAACACAACTCATGCTGAGCTCACAGCATTATCAGCAAAACTGAAAAGAGTGACTAAAATGCACTGTGAGTGCCACCTGGACCCGAAAGCGAAGGCTCCTGGGCGTCCTTTGTTGTAAGTCCTGAGGGGAAAGCAGAGTTGGTACCAGAAGACTAAAGATGTGGAGAATAAAGTCCCTTATTTCAAAACAATAGGATAGAAAAAGAGAAAGGGGGGCCCCACATGACACCAGTGCTTTGACTGTTGATCCCGGACAAGATCTTGGAAGAGTGTTAAGACAATGGGCTGTGACAACATAGAAAAACAAGTGTCAGTCCTGCCAGACAGTGTTGGTTCCACAGGGACAAAGCAAACCTCATTTCCTCCTCTGACAAGGCTAGCAACCTGGCAGATGAAGGAACTGCAGTGGACATGATGTATTTGGGCTTAAGTGGGGAATCAGACAACGGCCCTCTTGACAACTTGAAGCTCCTGATGTAAAGACATGTGCTGACTGTGTGGGCAGTGTGTTAGGCTAATACAGGTAAGCCAGGATGCTGTCACCATCTAAGTCAGTCCCAGCCTAGGGAAGGTCCCCAGAGGCAGGGTTTTGTCCTCCATCCTTCTGCTCATGAATATTTATTATATTGCAGATTGCCAAACAAAAACAAGTGTTTGTATGGCAATCCATTCCCCTTCCCTATATACCTGCTCAGACAAGAATCTTCACAACAAAGCAAAAATGTGAGAACATTTTATTTCCCTTAAATATAGTTTTTGGATTGATTTTGTGTGTGTATACACATACGTGCCATGGTGTACTTGTGAAGGTCAGAGGAAGTCACTTGGCTCCTTCCACCACATGGGGCCTGGAGATCCTGAGGCTTGACCTTGGCAGTAAATGCCTTGTCCTGCTGAGCCATCTTGCTGGCCCTTTATTTCCCATTTTGCAAAAAAAAAATAAATAAATAAAATAAAATAAAAGGAGCCTGAGACTTACTGCAGAGAAATGACTCATTGGATGTGACAAAGCCCCAAACCAGCAGAGCTGTTATTTAACCTCAAGCCCTGCCTCTTCTGACATTTCAGCTGAAACCTGGTACAGGAAAAACTATAGATACACAGGTAACAGGGTAAAAGAAAACTGACAAGAAGTAGGAGGCATTATCTGAGAAGTAACTTCAGTTAGGGGCCCAGCGTGCCCATAAAGAATCATTTTGTCCATCGATATCTTGAAACATACAACTCACTATGATTTATGAATTGGTCTAGTCGAACCAAGCTGCACTATAGATTCAGAACAAAAAGAATGATCACCCTCCTTTCCCCCAGTTAGTCACAGGCCATCTGAGTAAAGAGACTCACCGATCATATGTGATAGTTAAGGTCCTTTCTCACACCAATGGTCCATTATCACAGTACAAGGCTAAATGGTTTAGGAAATGTATGTTGAGAGTCTGTGCTCAACAACCAGCCATGTAACCCCTGGCCACTGGAACAGACCGCAGCTCTTGAAATGCAGAATTCCAAGTTGTCAGTCACTGGTCAGTGAGAATCTCTGGTGCACTGTGGGGAAGTTCTCAGTCACTAGAATGACCATCTCCATGTCTTCCCTCATGGAGTCGCTGCAGGCTCCCAAACCACAAACGAAGCAGCTGTGAAAGATGTAGCTTTGTTTGGAATTCAATATGGAGATCCCAAAGATAGTTCTGACCTGCAGGACTACAAATGGTGACACTGCCCCAGCTTCCAACTCACTGGAACCCTTCTTTATTTATCTCTTCCAATGATTTGAAGGAGAATGATCCGCATAGGCTCACATATTTGACTACTTGGTCCCCAGTTGGTGGAACTGTTTGAGAAGGATTAGGAGGGTACTACCTTGTTAGGGAAGATATGTCACTGGGAGTGGGCTATGAGGTTTCAAAAGACTCCTACTAATGCCAGTGGGCATATTCTTTCTCTCTCTCTCTCTCTCTCTCAGTTGTAGATCAAGATGTAAGCACTCAGCTATACCTTCATGGCACCGCCATGAACTCTAACCTTCTAAAGCTATAAGTCGAGTTAAGAGCCTTCTTTTATAAGTTGCCTTGGTCATGGCATTTTACCACAGCAATAGAAATGTAACTAAGACAGCCTTCTTGATGAAGTTCTAGCATTCATTATATGCCCTCTTTCTCTCCTAAGTACTCTGAGCGAAACCTGGGGTCTGCTGTTACAGAAGGAGAGAGAATCATGGAGGGCCCATACATCCAGGACTGAAAAATCCACAGGAGGGGTCTTTTCCTTGTTCCCACACTGACCAGGTGCCACCAGGCTTGGATCTGTAAGATCCAAGGCAAGATATACTCTATCCAAGCCAACCAAATGGAGGGGAATGGCAGCCTACCAAAACAGCACAACAGGGAAAGGGTCTCCAAATAGCAAAGGAAATCCATATTTAAGCATATGCTCCGCTTCCTGTGCCAATAATATCCAAGCTTGTAAAAGTGCGCATGCCCTCTGGCATTCAGATGGGATCGTCGCGGTTTGACTTTTATGTCAAGACTCTTTCCCTCCAACTACTTCACAGCCACCACAGTTCTCCTTCACAGCATCTCAGCTTCAGAACTTCTGTGAAAACCACCCTCGGTGTCAGATGTCATCGTTGGCTTTTCTCATGTTAAGACATCTCCCCGTCTTGACTTCGGATTCTTCTCACAAGCTTTCTGGTTCCCAGCTTCTGTGAAGGGCACCAAAGCAAAACTCATGAGGTAAACAGGCTGCCACCGAGGGGGCTGTGGGGAGGAGCTAGCTTAAATCAACACTCCCCGTTCTGGGGAGTCAAGGGTTTGTGGTATTTTTCCAGGAGCTGCTGTTTGACAGCAGCTCCGGGAGCAGCTCAGACACTTCCTGCCGGTGGCATCGCTGCAGCCTGAGCCGTCTGCCCTGGAAGCACCAGGCACGGCATCTGCTGCCAGCACAAATCTTCAGATTAATGAAACTCCCAACCAGCGCAGCAGACGCGCCCACAGCTTTCTTCCCTTTAATGTTATAGGAATGCGTTTCAGACCTTGAGTTCACGGCCTGGATCATTCCATTTATTATTACTTTTTAAATGGGGCAGGAAGGTGGAAGCTTAATTTTTGCCTACCAAGACAACATCATATCCAGACACCAGCTCAGGGGCAATGTGAGAAGGATTTCTGACCATGTCATCAAACAAGAAACCTCATAGAGACTCTGGGCTTGACGTATTTTTTTCACTGGAAAGAAGAAGGGGCAGGTTGTAGTCACTGGATAGGAGGGAGTTGGGGGAGATGTTGGGAGAGATGGTGATGGCATCTTTCAAAGTAGACTTAGAGAAATCGCTCTCATATATTCACACCCTCAAGTCACTAGGCAAATAAAGATTTTTACAACTTCAACTGAAAGCGGTAATGAGCAGGCGCATAAGCACTGAGTACCAGCACACCCCACCAAGAGTTCTCTGAGCCATGGCACCATTCTTGCTCCAGATGGCATGGAAAATAATTTATAAATGACAAAAGTTCAATGAGTGGATGGCAGCTGTTCAGCTCCAGCTCTCTGGCCACCCACTTCAGTAGAACTGAGAGCTTTCAATCAACTCCTGCATCCCAGAGGGCCTTCAAACAGCATCAGAACATGTGTACAATATGTTCTCAGAAAGGAGCTGGCCAAATATGAAAGATTAGAAAATCAAGTGAAATAAAAATAGAAATGCATACTGTTTTCTCCCCAATCCACAATACCAAGCAGGGACTGAGAACAAAGGACTTTACATTGTCTTCCTGTTTTGTTTTTACCTCCTTCCTGTATATTCACTGTTAGAGAAGTATCTAGAATTTCAGCAGTGTTATTTTAAGAACAAATAATCAATATTCACTGATCTTCCCATCTACTTAATCAAATAAAGCTTAATATGAAAGCATCTCTACCTAACATTGGATCAACTGCTTTTTTGAAACATAAACAAAGGCACTCCCATTTTTCACTTCAGTTCTGAACATCCAAGTTTGAAAAAAAAAAATAAGTATCACTTTGGACTTGTTAAGGTGCTTGCCAACATGCATGAAATCCTGGATTCAATCCCCAGCATTACATAAACCTAGCATAGTGGTACACACCTGTAATCCCCACACTCTTAAGATGGAGGCCAGAGAATTAGAAATTAAGGGTCATTCTTGGGTATATAGTGAGGTGGAGGTTAGTCTGGTCTGCATGAAATTGCCTCAAAAGAAAAAAAAAATGACTCTAAAAAGTACTGTCTTGCAAAATAATAAACCCCTGGCCCCTTCCCTTGGGAAAAGTAGCTCAGTTGCTATTTAAGTCTTAGGGAATCATTTACACAAAGAGAGAAGAACTAACTTCTCTAATTAACTAACTAACTGTACTGACTAAAGTTGCCAAACTATTTTAAAAGCACACTGGCCTATAAAACAAATGCAACCTAAACAATCTGCCAAATTTGGAAAAGGCAACGGTAAGGATGGCAGGGGCAGGAAGCAAGGTTAGAATTTAAAGAGTGAAAACTTCCAGGCTAGGAAACATCACTGATGCCCATCTGCCAGACTGACTCTCTGACACCCGTTTTGATTGAGTACCAAAGCTTTCTAGTTCTGGTCCAGGCTTCAGAGAAACGCAGAAGGATGATAAACAGGAGCCTAAGATTGCATCCCTGGAGGCACGCACCCACCCACAAACTGCTGCTTTCGTCTCTTCCATAAATAGATCTCAAAGGAAGGCTGCTGAGACTCTGTGAGGTGACATGTTTATCACATGCCCCGAGTCTGCTAAAGAACAAAAAGGCTTGTCTAGGACAGACCTGTAATCCCAGCACTCCAGGGACTGAGGTAGGAAGATTTTGAGTTGGAGGCTAGCCTGTACTACATTGTGAGCTCCAGACTAGCCTGCACAAGTCTCTAACAAAACAAAATTAGATTCATATTAAAACCTACACACATAAGTCGCAATTTTAAATTAAGATGGCTGTAACCAAAAAAAGATTTTATTTTTATTTTTAAAGTGTGTGTGTGTATGTGTGTGTGTGTGTGTGTGTGTGTGTGTGTGTGTGTGTGTGTGTGTGTGATGTGTTTGATTATGGGTGCCTGAATGCCAGGGTACACATGTGGCAGTCAGAGGACAACTTCTGGAAGTTGGTTCACTCCCTTGTACCTTTTGGGGGGCGGTCTGTCTTCTTTCTCCCACTTTGCACACTCGAAGCTTCCAGGAGATTCTCTTGTCTTCGCCTCCCATATTGCTCTAAGATAATATGATATAGAAGAGCCGCTGCAGGCAGCTGGTTGCCGGGTCCAGGGACATGATGGGTCACTGGGCGTGTGCAGCAGCGAGCCCTTCACCCACTGAACTGTCTCCCAAGCCTTGGTTTGATGTTTCATTCTATTTTCACAAAACACTTCTAAAAATAACCCGCAATAATGGACAACAGAACCATCCTCCAGATTCACAATGTCACCGATGGCCTTTTAATGCCTTAGAGCTAGCTACATACTTGGTCATTTTCTGTTAACCATGGCTCTATTTGTTCAGCAAGGAGTGAAAAGAAGGAAGGAAGGAAGGAAGGAAGGAAGGAAGGAAGGAAGGAAGGAAGGAAGGAAGGAAGGGAAGGAGGAAAAATGGGGGAGACAGACAGACAGACAGAGGAGTGACACCTAGGCTCGGAGGCACCAGATCTAGAGGAGCATAAATTTTCTTGCACAGTGTTCCAGCACACACATCCCCTTACTTCCTACGTGGTACTACTGATAACAAATCAGCAATGCAGATCAGAGGAATTTTTTTTTAAAGGAATCATAGGCGTTTGGACATGTACCCAGAGCCTGGGAGCGGATAAAAGAACCTGGCAAGCTTAAAACTTATGCTAAAGATACTATGAGGATTAAATTTCATACTGAAGAAACTGTGTTCAATGCAAAAAGAAAAAAAGCCACTAGTCAAACACATTACTCCAAACTTGGGACTAAATATATTCAATAATGCTTCCAGAAAACACTGAGCCATTGTCTCCCTTCTCTGCCTTAAGGAACTTGGACAGACAGCCACCAGACAGGCAGCTGAGTTCCCCATGGCTTTCAAGGGTGATTTTCTATAGGACCATGCCCTGACTACAAAGAGACTTTACACAGCAATTCTGTAACTCAAGACGCCCTGAGTGTGCACCCTGGACTAAATTAGTTTGAGCTCGAGGCTACTGCTTACCAGACCCACTTGCCAAAGACACAACCAAGCAAAACAGGGGTTCAGTGAATACATGCAACAAACCAGTAACTGCCTAGAAGACAGGCTCAGAAGCAAATAGAAAATGGCACATGCTCCAGAGCTTCCAAAGTATGGTGTGCATATCAGGTCCCCTTCTAGCTACAGGATCTGACTCCCACATGTGAAAAATCCATCCAAATAACAACTAAGCCAAATAAACAGATAACTAAAAGCATATCATTAAAATGAATCTGATCATCACTAACCATTACTACTTTATGTAATGGGGAAAATGGTGTGTATCTCAACTTCTCCACCTGGCTATCCCAAGCATGTAGCTACTAAATGGGACTCTGATAATTGAGGACCTGAATTTTTACTCTATTGCTGATGAATTTCATTTCAAACTTTAAAAAATCAGATGCCATTGGCAACTACCATATTGGACACAAGGGCCCTGGAAATCTAAATCAGAATTTTTTTAAATCACCTTTAAAGCTGAAGGTGTAGATCAGAGTACTTGCCTAGCATGTACAAGGATCCTAGATTTGACCCAATGTACCACCCTAGATCATCAGTGAATCCTAATGGTTCAAAATCATTTCAAAATCAAAGACAGAAAACAAATTTGGAATTAGACTTGTAACAGACCAAACACAGCAGGCCCTCAACACCATAAATGCAGATACCATGGTATTATGTTTGAATATGAAATGTCCCCATGGGCTCATATTTCAACACTTCCTCCAGCCTGTAGCCTACCTGGAGGAAGTGTGTCATAGCCAAGCCCAGTTCCAGCCTGAACTTCCTGTCTCCTAATCAACTAAGACTCAAGGATCTGCTTCATCTTCTTCTGGCAATTGTATCTGCAAGCCCCTGTGAACTCACCCATGCCTTCGAACCATAGGGACTGTATCCCATCAAACTGTGAGATCAAATAAATCCTTCCTCCCCTAAGCTACTTCTTTCAGGTTCATAACAGTGACAAGACATAACCAAAACACACAATAAAAGGTGACGCAGGACAGCAACCCAAAGGTGTTTGTACTTTAAAAGTACTACACACCTCATTTCATTTTTCATAAGTTGAAGTATTCTACAGATGACATTAGGATCTAAAGAAGCAAAAGCAAGGAATTGTTTGAAAAAAAGGAATTGGGTCACTTTATGAGTACTTAGGGAGGAAAAGCACAATTTTAAAAAAATTCTTCCGGCTGGAGAGATGGCTCAATGGTTAAGCGCACTGGCTGCTCTTCCAGGGGCAGATTTAATTCCCAGCACCAACATGGCAGCTTGCAACTGTCTGTAACTCCAGTTCCAGGGGATCTGACATCTTCTTACCAATGCACATAAAATAAAGTTGAATAGAGCTTTAAAAAAATTCCTTTCACTCAGTTGGCATTGTCTGGCCTGAATTTTAAGAATGAGATGGTAGAAATCACCCCTGTCTAGCACGTAACAATTTGCATTCTTGTACCTTGATAGACATAACAGTGAGATGAT